CACTTGGGTGCTGGAAGCCACGACGTGGGCTGCTGGAGCCACCGTCCCTCGCAACACTTGGGTGCTGAACGCATCCTTCTTGACGGCAGAATCTGCTGGAACCAATTTTTCCTCGTAACCAACGGGTGCTGGAACACACGATGTGGGGTGCTGGAACCACCGCCCTCGTAAAACTTGCGTGCCGTAGAATGCGCCCTTCTTGACGGCATGGTCTGATAGAACAACTTACCCTCGCAAAAGTGGGGCGCTGGAGCCACACCCAGCCCAGGGCTTCGAAAAGATGAGCTTGGCGAAGGACCCAATCATATGCAGGTGTGAATGCCGAGTTGTAGGTACCGCATTTTGTGGAGCTCCCAACGGGGCCATGAAGCGCGTGAGTGATGTCACGTCATGGGTGGGGAGGACGCATGCGGCCGCGGACATTGGGGTTTCCGGTGGAGTTCCCCATGGGGCCACGAATCGCTTTGCTTGGCGGGAGGTGCGCGTGGGTCTGCGGCTACTGGGGCCATCGGTGGAGCTCCCTATGGAGCCACGAAAACGCAAGAGAAAAAACACAGCATCTGTTTTCGTTTTGGCGGTTTCCGCTCTGAGCCTGGGGTGGCCGGAGACCCCCCGGAAACCAACAAAAAACAAGAAGAACACGAGCGGGGGGGATCGAACATTTCCCCCTCAGAGCCTGGGGTGGCCAAGAAACCAACGAAGAACCGTACGAGAAACCCGTGATTGGGTTTTTTTCGGAAAGCAGAAGTAAGGAGGGGGAGGAGGGGGGTGGGTAGCGGGAGGAGGGTAACGCGGGGCGCTTTCTCTTCAAAACGAAGCCCCAGCACCACAGGATGGCTGGGAATAAATAAAGGGAGGGGCCAGGGGCAGGTGTCTTAGCATTGAAGCCACGCCTCGCTCTGAAACGGGGGCAGTGCGTGCGCGTGCGCGCGCGTGCGTGAGCGTGAGCGTGAGCGTGAGCGTGCGCGAGCGTGCGCGTGTGCGCGTTCGTGCGCGCGTGCGCGCGCGCGTGCGTGTGCGCGTGCTCGCGTGCACACAAGCCCGAGTGCGAGCGCGGTCCCGAGCGCGAGCCCGACGCCGACACCGCACCCGAGCGCGAGCTTGAGACCGAGCCCGATCACATGCCCCATCCTGAGCGCGGGCGCGCGCGCGTACGCGTGCGCGTACGCGTGCGCGTGCGTGCGCGCTTCCAGCATGTTGCACGCGGCCAAACATTGCACTACCAACAATATTCACCTGACAGTAGGCAGCAGCGTGTTTTAAGGCCACCTCACGGCAGAATGGCGTGGAGGATCACTCGGGCAGGCCTCTACGCGGTAGCTTTCCACATTCTGTCGATCGAATCCCAAGGCGAAGACCTCGGAGAAAAGCCGATCGTCTTCTTCCTCGTCATTATCATGTTTACCATCATCATAAGCAGCATCATGAACTATCAACATCACCAACACCATCACCATCACCATCATCAACATCCTCAACAACACCAGCATCACCATAATAATCAACATCATCATCATGACCACCATCATCATACTTATCTTCATCATGATCATCATCGTCATCAACAGCAACAACAACACCACCATCATCATCGTCATCATCATCATCCTCACCACCACCTTCATCAACAACAACAACATCATCATCATCATCATCATCAGCATAATCAGCATCATCAGCAGCATCATCAACATCGTCATCGACATCGCCAAGATCATCAACAACATCAGCCACATCATCATCAACATCATCATCACCATCTTCATCACCAACAGCAGCAAAACCATCATCATCGTAATCATCAGCAGCAGCATCGTCACCACCACCATCACCATCACCATCAACATCACCATCACCATCAACATCACCACCATCACCATAACCATCACCATCACCATCACCATCATCACCATCATCATCACCATCACCATCAACATCACCATCACCATCACCATCACCATCATCGTCACCATCATCATCATCATCATCATCATCATCATCATCATCACCATCATCATCATCATCATCATCATCATCAGCATCATCATCATCAAGCTGCCACCCGCCGTAGCAAAGGTGCACATTCGCGCTGTATGGTGGGTTCCAGAAACCCTGATCCCGAAAATGGGTGCGCATCTTTTACGTCCTTCGGCTTCCCCTGGCCTCCAACACTACGCCCGCAAGCCTCAACAACAGGGCGTCTTTCGGCGGGCCTTGCCAAAAAAGTCAACCGGAAACGGCGCGACAGAAACAGTACAGATCCTGTCGGGGGACCAAGAGGAAGCACGCACGGGGACTGCCGGGGACGGGGAAGGCAGGCTGGCCACATCTCCATCTCCAGCGTGCCAGGGACAGCCCCCCCGCCCTCCCCCCTCGGAGAGTGGGAGGGCTACCAAAGCACAAAAAATTGAGACCTCTAGCAAAACCCCTAACTTGTGCACTCGCCTCTACCCGTCGATCCGGAACTAGAGGCAGCGCCAAGAACCCTGAAACCCTGAACTGACAAAAATCTACCATCTACTGGGGTGAGGATCTTTTACTTCCGCGGGCTTCCGCCCGTCTACCCTCCCCCCCCCATGGGGGAGCACCCCTTTGTGGGAGAAGCTTTCCCCTTCGATCGCTTGCCTCTGAGACGCCGTCGGCTTTTTGGGAGAAGCTTCCCCTTCGCAGACGCTTCGGGCTCCCCCTTCAGGGTCGGCGGCACCGGCCGTAAGGCCTCATAATGCTGTCATGTCTTGGGGCGCGCATCCTTTACTCCCGCGGGCTTCCGCCGGCCTTCCGCCAGCGGAGCCATCGCCCATTCGACTTCCACCGCCCTTCCGCCGCCTTGCGCCCAGGCAGAGATGCAACCCCTTTGAACGCCTCGAGGGCGAGGACGTTTCTGCTCGCCTCTCCCTCACGAGGGCTTGCCTGTCCCAGGCCACGGCGGCAGAGAATGACGGTCCTCGGGCGGGTCCCTCATGAAGGTGCCGCATCCGTCCGTCGTGAGGGACATCCTGCGAAGAGGGGGAAGGCGACAAGAAGCCAAATCACGCGACCAAAAGACAAGGGTCCGAATCACGATGACGCAGCGACCTGACGCGGTGGCTTATACGCGTGCCGCCAGCGTGCGTGGCACACCGCGTGGAGAAGAGGGCGCTTACGCGTGACCTTACGGGGGACGCTTGCGCGCCGATGTCCGCGCAATCGGCCCTGTCTTTCTGCGTCGCTCACATGGCTCGAACAGCAAAATGTCACTCCCGCCAGCATCCGCTGGCGAAGACGCAGCCGAGGAAGACATGTCGGCCTCTCGATCCCTCGAACGCGAGGCCCTGTCTGGAACGCCCCGCATGCCATCGGGGTGACAGAGGCGCAAGGATTTCAGAAAGAGATGATACGGTCACTTCTGCGAATCTGCCCTCGTCGCCTGCTTCTCATATCCAGCACCCTGTGCATGCAGCGTCTCGGTCTGCAGCGAAGCTGGCCATTTGCATGCATCAATTGGATTCGTCCATCGAGCTTTGGGGCCCTCCAACGTACAAGCAGGGTCCTCCACAGCGAGGGCTCATCATGCAGTGATGCTGGCCTCAAACTGTCCAACGTGCGACCCTTCGAGAGACGACTTCCACGATGCATGTCCTGCGCCCGTCGCGCTGCGCACACTCGCCAGTCGAAGCCTCGGAGGCCGTAGTCCGAAAACTGAAACGCGCAAAGCGTCATGCTCGGACGGATATTGGCACGGACGCCACATGACCAGCTGTCAACGCTGGCACCACCCTCCTCTTCAGACAAATGTTCGCTGCCCGTGACAGAACGAGCAGCCTGTCAAACGCTGAGGGTGATGCTTCCCACACGATGGCTTTCCCAAAAATCATGTCAAACCGAGAGCACACCGTGACCTATGCACGCAATAGCGCTGATATTACTGAGACCCCTGTGCTAAATCTGGGCAGTTGGAAGGCACATCATGTTGCAAAGAGGCCTTTAGAAAGGGGAAGAAAGGAGACTGTATGAAAGTATCCATGCCATGAAGCGCGGGATGCTATGAGTTGCTCGGGCTCTGTGATCGTACTTTCATAATCCTTCCTCGTATGTAGCCGTATTATCCGTGGCATATCATATTCAGTCGGCCTCTCAGAAGACTGTACCAGACAAGAAGCTGCAATCGTGCTGGCATCGACGGTCGTCACTCGTCGTCGCCGTCACCCTCCTGCTCCTCCTCCCCCTCTTCCCACAGATCCACCATCTGTTCAACAATGACTCCGGATGACTTACCTCTCCTCTCCTGCCATCATGTGCGAGCTGGGCGTCGCTTCTGTCGCTATTCTTGCTAGCGCACATGATTACGACAAGAACCGAGTTCCATATGTTACGTTCCACTCAAGACGTCTGTAGTCCTTCATAGAAGGATGGTAACGCTGCAGCGTTGGCCCCATGTCGGCGTCGGCGCTCGTCTCTGGAGGCATCCTGCTTCCGCTCTTGGGCTCATCCTGGGCCTCGTCTGGGGTGGTCTGGAGCTGTCCTGGGCGCCTCTTCTGCAGTCTTGGGCCTTCTTGGCCCGTCTTGGGGCCAGGCCGGGAAGCGCGGTACCGGGAGCGTAACGGAGATGTCACAGGGAGGTGTGGGACCCCCGGAGGGGGGGGGGCCTATTTGTTTATATTATATCTGTATTCATTCTCTCTCTCTCTCTCTCTTTCCCTCTTCGCGCGTCAAGGGAGTCCGGCGTCGATCCAAGAAATCCGAGCAGACCTCCGACTGCTTATGCTTATGCCGATGCTTATTGGTCGATCCTGTTTCTCCTCCTCCTCCTCCTCCTCATCATCATCATCATCATCAGCATCAGCATCATCATCACCATCATCATCTTGTTCCTTTCTCACGCTGGAGGGGAGGGTTGAAAAAAAGTCATGTAAACCGCGGCAGCTCTGAAACCAGCAGGTAAGCCGAAAAGTGGGGAACGGCGCAACGGCGGTGAGATGGTCCTCCCCCCTGCCAGACCAATCCTGTCACCTCGCTCCTCATCATTCCCGTCGGCTCCTGTAGTCGGACTTCCCGTCGGAGCCGTCGAGGACGATGCCGTCTTCCTCGAGGCGGCTCTCCCAGGCCACCGATCCCCAGAGGATCCTTCAAACAATGACCAGGAGCGCAGGTCTTTGTTCTGTGCACAGATATGGCGGGTTCCAGAAACCATAGATCCCCCAAAAAGGTTGGCATCTCTTTGGGGAAAAACTCTTATTTCCGCCAGCTTCCGCTGGGGAAGAGACGTCAACTCCTTTCTACCCTCGAACGGGAGGTCCATTTCTGGAGTGTCCCAGATGAGAGAATCAAGCCGTCAACCAATCTTACACCTGCTGATGCTCACGCGCAGCGATGTACTGGCGCGTGGCCGCCATGTCCAGGCAAGCGGCAACTGCGGGAGTATGCAGCTCCGACCTGCAGCTGCACCGTGCGCTCAGGAGTCTTTTGGGGTATGCAGCAGACGCTCGCGCTCCGCGGCACTTGATTGAGATGTGGAGCACGTCGCCGTGTGCCGTACGATGAGACAGAGGGCGCAGGCCGCGCAGCATGCGGCCAAGACGGCACGTGGTAGCCGATGAGAAAGCATGCCCTCAGCGCGTTCGCTCGAGCTGTCGACTGAGGCGATGCATCCTGCAAGCTCCACACCTCTGACAACACACAAGGCTCGACCCACTGGAGAGCCTGGCGTCTGGGCTCAGCGAGATCGGAGAAGTTGTGGCGCCTTCCACGGCAGAATCATATCCAGCTTGCCTGCGCATGTCCCGCAGACGCGGGCGTGGCAAGCATGATCGACACGCGAGCCTGGAGCACCTGGTACCACCGTCCATGCATGCGGGGACGCTGGTGCTTGGTGACTGGAACGTGCTCAGCGTGCCGCGCCGAAGCGTGGTGGGCCAGAACCCGCGTGGTGTGCCTGTTTTCCACTACCGGCACTGCAAACCAGGGGCGGCTAACCTGTGGCGAGGCGCCGGCCGCGCCTGGCAAAGCACTACCGGAGGTCGGGCGCCCCTGGTCTTGGCTTTCACGACACGAAGTTTTGCGCAGCCTGTGGGTGACGGCAACGGGCCGATCAAGCGCGACCCGGGAACAGAACGCTCCCCAGACGAACGGCGACTGCCGCACGTCTCATGTACACTACTGCACTGGTCCTCTGCAATGTGTTCTTACAGGCACCACAGAGCAAGAGCAGGCGAAACGTACGGGAGAGCCTAAGAATTATACAAGACCAGCCTTGCCAGAGTCGCCGCCCCTGGTCTACAGTGTTGAGGCCGTGAAAGGTAAGCCCACGACGGCGGAGCGACACCCTGATCACGGACGCTGTTGGGCAGGCGGCCTTCTGTCTCGAATGGACAACGCCCGCGGCGGCACCGAAAGCAGGTCCTGTGACAGAACCTGCTGTTAATACTCGTCCCCAGTCTTTCCATACCCATGTTGATCGCACTGGGTCAAGGACCGCACCTTCCCCTCAGTGATGACCGTCGTCTGGTATTCGGGTCATACCTCTGGCCTGTGGCGGACGTTCGGGACAATCTGATCCCCACCCCCAGACGCCCCTGTGCGAGGCGCAGCCGCTGAAACGCATCCTGGGGCTAGAACTCCGCCGAGAGCCCGAAAACTCCAAAGCCCAAACCGTACCTGTTTCCTAAAATCCCACGTTGCGAAAAGAATTGCACCATCCCGAAAAATCGCGGCCAGAACACCAGAACCCATCATTCGGCAGCAGTTTGCGAGCCGGATTGATCTGTGATGGCCCGCAGGGCCCGGGACAAGGCAAAGCCGTGTGAACGAATGCAACGCCTGGACCTTCGGGGATCTTCTGACCCGAGTCAATCCAGACCCGGGTCAGCAGGAAACCAAAGCTAACCCGGGTCAGCCAGAGGGGGTCTTCGCAGGATCCTGCAGGATCCGGTGTCGTGGCTGAACCCCGTTTGCATTGACCCCCGTCTCTTAGGCCCCGAGACCTCAGGGTTTCGATTGCACCGGGTCAAGCACCGCAGCTCCCCCAGCCGTGGCCGGCCTGGCGGGCCGCCTAACGCCGCCCAGCCTCATCTGACGCGAGGGAGCCGGGAGGCCGCTCTCGCGCGCGTGGTCTCGCGCGGAGAGGATGGTACCAGGACGGCTCGCCGCCTCCGCCTCCTCCTCTTCCTCCTCGCCTCCTCCTCCATCTGCTCCTCCTCCTCCTCCATCTCCTCCCCCTCCCTCCTCGCGGTGGCTCAAGGCTTGGCGCCCACGCAGGAGGAGCACCAGCAGTCCAAGGCCAGGCAGCTCACGAGCACAAGCGCGGCGAGAGGCTTGAGAAAGCCAACGAGACGTGCGAGGCAGCCTACGAGAAGGTGAACGCCACCAAGACGCTGCTCGCCGAGCAGCAGAAGCACATGAGGGTGTGCACCACCGCGGTCGTGGAGGCTGACCAGCCCGACTCCCATGCCAAGCCAGATGAGCAGACGGACTTAATCCAGCAGATCCTAGACCTCAACTCGGAGGACGAGGACAACCTGGGCATCGCGTTCGACCTGGAGAACGAGGACACTAGCACCTACGCCCAGGAGGCCATCGACGCGATCGCCAACGTCAAGAAGCAGCTCCTGCAGAGCTAACAGAAGAACGCCGCCAGCTACATCCAGGACTTGAAGCAACACCTGGCTACGGCGAAGGAGGCGGCGCATAAGAGCCGCGAGGAGATCCATCAGGCAGCCAAGAAACGCAAGGCAGCGAGCAGAGGCATCGGTGCGATACCTGCTACGTATCCCGCCCAGCCTGACGACAAGGCAGCAGCGCCGACTCAAGCGGCATCAGCATCATCCACACAGAAGGCCACCTTACCAAGACGAAAGAGCAGCTGCTAGAGGTGCGCGACAAGGCGACGGCTGCCACCAAGCAAGACGAACAGTAAGTTCCAAGCGTCGCCATGTCGTCCTTAGAGGCGATGTCGAGCGCAACACCTTCGTCGACAAATGCACGGAGTGGGGGCACAAGGTGAAGGAGTCCCTCGCCAACGCTAGAGCGGCCAAGGAGTACCTTTGGCATCCAGGAGACCCATTTGAACTCACGAACTGATAGACACCGAGCGCGAGATCCAGACCATGGGCGACGAGTCCTTCTTCTGCCCCGCGCGCCAGTCCACCAAGAGCTAGGCTGGCTCCAACGGAGGCACCTGCGTAAGCATCCTTGCGTACCATCGAAGCAAGTGCTTCCGCCAGACGGCTGCAGCGGGAACGGCGTCGGCGACCACAGCTGGGCTTTTGGCGCTGCCAGTGGGCAGTCCCCAGCACAACTTGTTTAACTGGGTGACTCTGGTCTGGCACCTCCGAGGGCTCAGCATCATCAGCAGCAGCAGCATCCACAGCATCAGCATCAAACATTATAATCAGCAGCAGCATCGTCATCATCATCACCACCATCACCATCACCATCACCATCACCATCAACATCAGCATCAGCATCAGCATCAGCATCATCAGCATCATCATCAACATCAGCATCATCATCATCACAACCACCGTCCTTATCATCATCAGCACCCCCATCACCATCATCAGCAGCAGCATCCTCATCCTCATCCTCGTCATCATCGTCATCATCCTCCTCATCCTCCTCATCATCACCACCATCCCACCGTCATCATCATCATCATCATCATCATCATCATTATCATCAGCATCATCAGCATCATCATCATCATCATCATCATCATCAGCATCAGCATCAGCATCATCATCGTCATCATCATCATCACCATCATCATCATCATCATCATCATCATAATAAGAATCAACAACATTATCATCATCATCACCATCATCATCAGCCTGTACCTCGACCTTACAGGGGCTTCCACGGCGTGAACGCCAGGAAGCTCACAACTGAGGCTTCAGTCCTATCACGCTGCCAGCACCTGTGAATCGTCATGGGCGGCTGGAACACTGCACCAGCGGAGCTGTGGGAATCAGGATGGCCCACCGCTATGGGAGGCCACATCGCGACGCTGCCAAACGGCTACACCTGCTTTACCAACAACAGCGTCAAGAACTCCACAACCGCGAACATGAATGACTGTGCGTTGATCCGCAGCGAGGCTCAGTAGTTCATCGGTCTGGAGGCAGTGCCAATGCCATGGACAGCTGCTATCGGATAACGGCTACGCCTACGACGCGCAGCCAAGCCAATTCGTATCCGACAGCTGCGCCTTCCTTGCCATGCTCAGCATCCTCCTGCTCTTCCCACGCCTCCCGCTCCCGACAGCAAACGACCGAGAAAGAACCCACAACAGGCATGCCAGCAACGGTTGCACACCATCCAGGAAATCAGCAAGTCTGAGATACGCGACGTTGACGGTGAATTGAACTCCAGATGGATCCAGTTGGGCCGTAGCATCGACGCTCCCAAACTCGCGAAGGCGCACCTTGGAACGCTTCTACTGCACCGCCTACTCGTATAGCGCCGCAGGACAGAAGCAGATACTGCGGAAGAGGGAACGCTATACGTTTGACTCGTATGACTATTAAGCTCGACAAGCCAAGGCTCCGCCGTACCCACTATGCCAACAAATAAGCCGATTGGTGGGGAAAGGCAGCCACAACACTGATGGTCTTCTACGCCTTGCAGATCAACAGCAAGGGTGGGCGACAACGACATCAACTCGAATCTGAAGCACGACAGCCCGTCTACGAAGGAGTCCCTACCGCAGGAGCTCAGCGTTCTCCCACAGCGCGCCAACATCGCGACCTCTTGGAAAAGCGCCTTCGTGGCATGAAGGCTGTGCATGATGAAGCCATTGAGGGCACGTTGGACCACGCCGCACTCGAAATCCCAAGGGCCGCCACATTCGGCATGAAGCAATGCACCAAGGCAGTCGCCGAATGGCTCTCCAACGAATAGGAGTCGCCGGTCGGCAAGCTCCACTAACTCACAAAGCAACAGCCCCGACATGAAGACGAACACGTACACGTGCGAGGGAAAGCGTGTTGTCCGTGCTGCATCATCGACGCCAAGAAGATCGAGTTCAGCGAGCTCTGGACGCACCCCACCCTCACACACGCAGGTTACCAGACCCTTATCAATCAGG